TTAAACCGAGATTAAAGTTAATTTCACATTTGTGGAACCAGACCTTAGAAGAGAAAGATGTGATATGTTGAACTGCTGTTGGTACTATTGTAAGTTAATCGTCGGTTAACTTAACCAGAGATTGGTGAAAGAGGTCCTCAAAGAGAAGGTCTCATGCGGAGTCTCGGTTGACGGACTCAAAAACGGGGAAAATGGAAAACCATTGAAAAGATCATGCACAGGAATGAAGCAGAGGGCAATTACACGAACGTTTTAGTTCGACGATGACAAGGGGAGGAGCACTTGTGGTCATCGGCAAAAGCAATTTTCGTTACACGCTCCCAGCTCTTTGCCCTGCATGTTACGTCTTCCCTTTGTAGACATCTGCGAAAATGGCACACGGACTATGGACACTTTTATCTGAGATTTCATCTTCAATTATTTTCTCGATGAAAAATCCGATTTTAATAGCCGTTTTGTTTCCTCTCACGAGTCGTTAATCCTCGGCCCGTGAAATCGATTTCTTCTAGAAAAATTCATAATTACAACGAAATCAATGATTATTGATAGTTAACAAACGTACATCATATTTTGTAGTCAATTGAGAATTCCACGAACGAATACGCATAATAACAAAAAAGAATAGGTATTCCGGAAAGAGGGAGGAGTTCTCGTAGATCTTATCCCAGAAAACTTCATCCTACGGATCGAGAGTGAAAGTTTCTCAGGAAACAGCACGTAATTCGATGCTTATATCAGTTACGTCATCCATGAGATTATCGAGAACGGAATTTCTGCAGAAAAGTTGCTCCCCGGAGCACTGACCTTTCGTGACAAGTGTCAAAGTTTATTTAGTTTGTACTCGTTATCGTTCTAGGAACACGTCACCTACCAACGTTCTGCTTGTAATTAATTATCGTGCGCGAGGTGCAATACTGCTCGTCGTAGCACCTAGCACGAGTAATTAATGTCCGCCGTCTCGGTAATTAATCGCATCTAGCAGCTAGATGCCAATGTCCCTTTCGATGCGCAGATCTTTTCGCCAGCGATCGTACATCTGCCAAGTTTACAATTAAAACTCGTTGTTAATTCTTTCTTCTGAGTGATAGAACGATGGACACGGGTGCTAAATTCAGAAGTTTTCCCAATGAATTCTGGACTCTATTTTATCTTATCTGATCGAATTTTGAACGCGAGAGATTTGTGATGAGACAACATCAAATCATTAGAATTTTTTCAAGTTGGTAAACTCCGGGAGCAATTAAATTGAATTGTGGAAAGGAATTCCAACATTAGAAAGCTGAGAAATAAGAGAGACTAGCCTACACATATACACAAACATACATGCACCCATATGGATTCGTGCTAAAATAGAAGTTGTTGCATATTTCTGCATGTTTGAACGATGCTTGGCCGCCTAAAGTCGCGGGTGAGGAATCAATCTCTCATCCGGCATCTTCCCTGATCTTTTTGGAGGGTCACCCGACAGTCTGTCAACCCTCCGATTCCTTTCACCGGATCTAAATGAATCACTGTCCCCAGTATGAAAAAATATTTCCATGGCAAATCTCATTATATCCGTGTTTTTAACGTCTCGACGATGATATGTCGACTATGTCACGGCAGGGGTTCGTCCCCTCGTCGACGTGTTTTTTTCCCCCGAGGTGTCTGCGTTTAGTTACAGCAGGATGAAAATCAACTCGCGCTTGAAGATTAATGACGGAAAGAGTAGTACCTTACTAATTACGCGTACATTTAGTACAAGACTAATCCAATTAGCAGGTTACGAACATCTCTTATATGACTATTTTTTTTCGTTAATTGATAATACTTGTTAATATTTTAACAGAACGTTTCTAGGCTAAACATTCAAAATTCATCTAACTCTTTTGTAATTTCATAATAATATATATTTTACGTTATACTTTTCGTAAATTGAAAATTCTTTTTTATCCTTTTTTCTTAATATTTTATTACATCTTACAATAACAACAGTTTTAATACAACAAATCAAGCAATGTCGAGTGTTTTCAAATCGTCGTGTTGACGTTACAATTCGGACATGGCGGACACATTGATCTCTCACGGACGTTTATTAATTATACGCCTCTTCACTCGACTCGCCAATGCCGTGATCGCGCGTGTTGCAAAACTCACTTTGGAAGCTCTGCAAACAGGTAAACGGATAGTCGAGCAGCCTCTTTCGCGCGAAATAAATACGTCTGGCCGCATTTTTGGCCGGAGAGGCATTATGTCTGCTGGTGGAGCATGCACCGTGATCTTCTGAGTAGACTGGATACTGGCCAGGGCCAAAAGCCAATCGGCGAATGCATCGCGGATTATCGTGTTTCCATTATCCTTCTAATGGTATAGCCCTAATGACTCATTCTCAATGACTATGATCTATAAATCAATGTAATTCAGTAAAAAAAAACAGCCTCATAAACTGCTAACCTTTACGAAAAACCGAGATACATTTTACGACGATGTTTATCTACAGTTCCTTTAGTTGTACCGCCAACAAAATAAAGCATTGCAAAACTTCTATGAATAAAAAATTGTATTCGCTTATATTTTCAATTTCGCTGATGAGTAGCAGCAAAATCTTACATGAAATCATCTCTAATTTTATTTTTCACCATTAAATGATATGCTCCCATATTGTATTGTCAAACAAAGTCGTTAGCGCGCGTTCGATCTTACGATATCATTATGGTGTAAATATTTGTCTCGAGTTCAAGCCGACTCGTACCTGTTAACCAAATATTTTCTTTCCGTCTCAGCCACGTATCACCAATCTCTTTCTAGTAATCTCCCGCTGTTTGGTTCCAGTCATTTTGTGACAGAGATGACAATTGATAATCTCAAAACACATTGAGAAGAGGGACGCTTCTGCTTCCTCTTACTTTCTTCGCCGCCAGTGTATTCTGTTTTGGGCAAGTCTGGACTCCAGCAGGTTTGGACGTCAGCCAGGGCCATCGGCCAACCGGTCATATACGCGAGCCTTCAGGAATCATTCCTGCAATCGTAGAACAACTCAAAAGATCTCTTATTTTTGCTACACCGTCTTCATTTACCCAAGGATTAAAAGACTTAATTTAATCTCGGCGACAAATTCGTACCTCAATAGAATTATCTCTCTCGCTTGCCACTTATCGTTTATTGTGTACCTAAAATATGTTTTCTTGGCGTTTCTCAAATTGAAATTAACGTTCAAGATGTGTAAGACACTTGAAGCTGGGGGTTTTTTTTTTAATCCTGTATGTCACAGTATATTATTCATTATTTTTTGCCCTTTATTCTGCCTCTTATGGCGACGTGGTATATTTACAGAAGTAGGACAATATCGGAAAACTTTTAATCTTATTTCATCAAAGTAGGCTGCGCTCAAACTATTGACCGGTATAGCAACGTGGCTATACTTATCTCTCGAAAGCAGCGTTCGTGGAGGAGCCGCCACGACATTCTATCCTGATTTGATAACGCCGCTCGACACGATCTGATCTCTCGAGGACTTGCAATCTCGCGAATTTTGCCGATCGTCGCCTGACCCTCGTAGCTGGCGCGTCGCCAAGTCTTCTTCCCTCATCGTCTCGCTGTCTTCTTGTTCCAGCTATATTTGCCTCGTCGTGCATCTAATTCGTCGACGATGACGCTTGTCCGGCGCGCTACCTTGTGCACGTCAATAGGAATTTGCGACTGTCGCCGTCGCTGATTTACTTATGCTCGCGTGGAACGAACGGCAAAACTATGGAAGTATATAAATCTAATTAGGATCAGCATCGCGAAATGTTTTTCGAGTAAGTTTGTGACTTTGTGCTTGAGCTGGCACGCGATTTCGTTCTCATAAAATGTTCCGAGGTAACAGACGCGCCGTTGTTTTAATGCGTGAAACTTTGGTTCTCCTAAACCAAGGAACGATAAACCGATAGCGCGAGGTACGTGAAACTCGTTAACGTCGCTAGGAACGTTGGTATTTTGTCTGGGAGACATCGTCTAAGTTTAGAGAAAGCGCAGGAATATACCCGTTGGTCGCTTCGAAAACCTAACAGTGACATTATCCGAGGTCAGATGATATCAGGGTAGACACGAAGTCTGAGTAGACATCGGCTACTTATGTATATCTACTAATTATAGGCTCGCGTGCCAATTATGTCATTTATCGCATATATGTCACAGTTACTTCCTTCTATGCATAACGTACTGACGTATTAAAAATGAATGATACCAATATATTTAGTTTAGCAGAATTGTACATTATACATCTGCTCGCGAACGCGTTGAAAATATATTCTATCATTATCGATTGATAACTGATACGTAATTGTGTTGTACCAATTATGTTTTTATTATACGATATAATAAATAACGAATATTACAATATCACGCTATTTCGTTTCAACAGATTTGTTAACAATTTCTACATTATTCAGAACATAAGTAATCAAGCGTATGTGCGTTTGTGTTATTGAATTTATTATACAGTAAGATCTTATACGAATACAATAAGATCTTATACGAATATACGAAAAATAGTATTTAAATTAACACAATATTTTTATTTTATTGCAGGAAGTTGGTAGCATTATCGGGAAAAAAGGAGAGATTGTCAAGAGGTTCCGTGAAGAAGTAAGTATTAATTCTTGAAGACGAAATACGTCTTCCGATAATGAAAAAAAGAGTTACGTGTAACCACATCACGTATCGTAAGATGATATTCTACGTGAAAGCATGTAAATTATTACTCTCTACGATCGGTTTCAGCTATCAAGGACAGATTACATTTACAAGTCTTTTAAATTTGTTTTCTACTTTAATCATTCTCACTAATACACACTAACTTGACCTCTCAGGACAGCAGGCATTGATTATCGAATATTGGAAGCTGAAAATAGCTTTATATACGTGCATATTATATGAAGACCCATGATCGGTAATACTTTTTTTCTGTTCGTCCAACGCAGTCCGGCGCGAAAATCAATATCTCCGATGGTTCCTGCCCGGAACGGATAGTGACTGTCACCGGGCCGACGAACTCGATCTTCAAGGCGTTCACGCTGATATGCAAGAAGTTCGAGGAGTGGTGCTCTCAGTTCCACGACGTTCCGGGTAGCGGTGCCGGAGGTGGCGGTGGTGTATCGAGGCCGCCTATCACACTCAGACTGATTGTCCCTGCTTCGCAATGCGGCTCCCTGATCGGCAAGGGTGGTTCCAAGATCAAAGAAATTCGGGAGGTTACTGGCGCCTCCATTCAAGTCGCTTCCGAGATGCTGCCTAACTCGACGGAACGTGCAGTAACCATATCCGGTACCAGCGAGGCAATCACGCAATGCATATATCATATCTGTTGCGTTATGCTAGAGGTACGTACCATCGTTTTGTAACTTCGTAACGTTCGATCATTCTAAATGTTATAGTTCGTACTTCGGTGCTTAACTCTGTAATAATTTTAACCGAAAGCAACTTACATAATCGTTCATAAGCGTGTTATTAATTTTGTTAAATATATATGTCTAGAAATACAGTTTACAGTTATTAATCTGTTAACAAATAGTAAGCATTGGCCTAGTTTATATCGTGCACTTGATACGGGTA